ACCTGCAGCCTGTACCTCAATCCCCCACCTCCCTTCCAGAGCCTGCACCCCAAACTCCCACCTGCACCCAAGCACCCCCAGAGCCTCACTCCTCACCCCTTCTGCCCCCCAACTCCCTCCTAGAGCCTGCAGCCCCTCCCCGTAGGCCAGACCAGGGAGGGAGGAAAGTGAGAGTGGGGGAAGGGTCTGGCTTCTGGCCTCCCCCCCCCCCCCCCACATTTTTTCAAAACCCCCTTTTTGTGTGTCCAAGCCAGGCCCCATGGGTTTGTTAGGACAGACCGGCCGGGTGTGCGGTGCAGAGACCGGCTTAGTGTTGCCCTTTGTTTCCTCAGAAGCCCAATAGCAGTGAAGGGAAAGCATAGCCGTGGGGAGCCGGAGGGTGTTTCCCAGGGAGGCGGGGAGATGGGGGGAAGGGAACAGGCCGCGGGGTCAGGCGAAGGGAACAGGCCGCGGGGTCAGGCGAAGGGGTTAGGACAGACCGGCCGGGTGTGCGGTGCAGAGACCGGCTTAGTGTTGCCCTTTGTTTCCTCAGAAGCCCAATAGCAGTGAAGGGAAAGCATAGCCGTGGGGAGCCGGAGGGTGTTTCCCAGGGAGGCGGGGAGATGGGGGGAAGGGAACAGGCCGCGGGGTCAGGCGAAGGGAACAGGCCGCGGGGTCAGGCGAAGGGAACAGGCCGCGAGGTCAGGCGAAGGGAACAGGCCGCGAGGTCAGGCGAAGGGAACAGGCCGTGGGGTCAGGCGAAGGGAACAGGCTGCGGGGTCAGGCGAAGGGAACAGGCCGCGGGGTCAGGCGAAGGGAACAGGCCGCGGGGAAGGGAACAGGCCGCGAGGTCAGGCGAAGGGAACAGGCCGCGGGGTCAGGCGAAGGGAACAGGCCGCAGGGAAGGGAACAGGCCGCGGGGTCAGGCGAAGGGAACAGGCCGCGGGGAAGGGAACAGGCCGCGAGGTCAGGCGAAGGGAACAGGCCGCGGGGTCAGGCGAAGGGAACAGGCCGCGGGGTCAGGCGAAGGGAACAGGCCGCGAGGTCAGGCGAAGGGAACAGGCCGCGGGGTCAGGCGAAGGGAACAGGCCGCGGGGTCAGGCGAAGGGAACAGGCCGCGAGGTCAGGCGAAGGGAACAGGCCGCGGGGTCAGGCGAAGGGAACAGGCCGCGGGGTCAGGCGAAGGGAACAGGCCGCGAGGTCAGGCGAAGGGAACAGGCCGCGAGGTCAGGCGAAGGGAACAGGCCGCGGGGTCAGGCGAAGGGAACAGGCCGCGGGGTCAGGCGAAGGGAACAGGCCGCGAGGTCAGGCGAAGGGAACAGGCCGCGAGGTCAGGCGAAGGGAACAGGCCGCGGGGTCAGGCGAAGGGAACAGGCCGCGGGGTCAGGCGAAGGGAACAGGCCGCGAGGTCAGGCGAAGGGAACAGGCCGCGAGGTCAGGCGAAGGGAACAGGCCGCGGGGTCAGGCGAAGGGAACAGGCCGCGGGGTCAGGCGAAGGGAACAGGCCGCGAGGTCAGGCGAAGGGAACAGGCCGCGAGGTCAGGCGAAGGGAACAGGCCGCGGGGTCAGGCGAAGGGAACAGGCCGCGGGGTCAGGCGAAGGGAACAGGCCGCGAGGTCAGGCGAAGGGAACAGGCCGCGAGGTCAGGCGAAGGGAACAGGCCGCGGGGTCAGGCGAAGGGAACAGGCCGCGGGGTCAGGCGAAGGGAACAGGCCGCGAGGTCAGGCGAAGGGAACAGGCCGCGAGGTCAGGCGAAGGGAACAGGCCGCGGGGTCAGGCGAAGGGAACAGGCCGCGGGGTCAGGCGAAGGGAACAGGCCGCGAGGTCAGGCGAAGGGAACAGGCCGCGAGGTCAGGCGAAGGGAACAGGCCGCGGGGTCAGGCGAAGGGAACAGGCCGCGGGGTCAGGCGAAGGGAACAGGCCGCGAGGTCAGGCGAAGGGAACAGGCCGCGAGGTCAGGCGAAGGGAACAGGCCGCGGGGTCAGGCGAAGGGAACAGGCCGCGGGGTCAGGCGAAGGGAACAGGCCGCGAGGTCAGGCGAAGGGAACAGGCCGCGAGGTCAGGCGAAGGGAACAGGCCGCGGGGTCAGGCGAAGGGAACAGGCCGCGGGGTCAGGCGAAGGGAACAGGCCGCGAGGTCAGGCGAAGGGAACAGGCCGCGAGGTCAGGCGAAGGGAACAGGCCGCGGGGTCAGGCGAAGGGAACAGGCCGCGGGGTCAGGCGAAGGGAACAGGCCGCGAGGTCAGGCGAAGGGAACAGGCCGCGAGGTCAGGCGAAGGGAACAGGCCGCGGGGTCAGGCGAAGGGAACAGGCCGCGGGGTCAGGCGAAGGGAACAGGCCGCGAGGTCAGGCGAAGGGAACAGGCCGGCCCGGCCGGAGGAATGCTGCGTGGGGGCGTGGAGGAGGGTGTGTCGGGCGCCCGTGTGACAGAGCAGAGACGCAGTGTTTCCCGGAGTGCCTCTGGTGTGTACCTAAGCGTGATGTGGCATGGCACCTGGCCAGCCAGCGCGAGGAGGCATTTCCTCTTCCCCGGCGAGGGGGTGTGTGTGTGTCTAATGATGTGGCAGTTTCTTGGGTGAGTCTAGTTCCAATCAAGCTCTCTCAGTCCTCATCTGACCTGCCGGGAGCCATCTCTGCCGAGTTCTGCCCTGAGGCTCAGGGCTTCCCCCCAGACATGAACGGGACTGCCATGGCGACGGGGACATGAAGGTATTGCCAGAGTCCCCGCGCTGCAGGGTTTTCTTTCACTTCAGCTTCCTTTTCCCCTCAGCCCCCCGCCCCCGTTCCCTGACACCGAGTCACTTCCTCCCCCCGACTCACAACCTGCTTTCTCGCCTTCATTCGCACACGTTTTCTGTGCGACACGCTGTGTGCCGGGCACACGCTGCCCCCAGATCCTGGTGCCCTGGGAAGAGACGGCACGTGCCCCAGCACTTCCCTGGCTGAGGAACTGTCCAGCCGGCGCAGGGTTTAGAACGGGGTACGCGGGTCTCTGCTGGGGGACCTATTTGCCGAGGTTTCCAACAGCCTCCATGCAAAGCACTAGCCAAGCAGCAGTGTAAGCACCAGCGCTCTATGGGCCAGGAGATTTACGTGGGAACGATAGGGGGCAAGTGAGAAAGTCGGCCATTTTTCAGCACGAGTGCGCTTTGACCCTTTGTCGGAGCGTGTGAGCAAGCCGGGTAAGCGAGGTGAAACGCGGGGGGTCCGAGACCAGACTCCGGCCAGGGGACCGTCGTCTGGGAAGGTCTGAGCGCCACAGTTCTGGAGGAAGGGAGCTGGGAATTTTGCCGTCTCTGCGTGAGCGGCAGAACAAATGATTTGCTCCCATGGAATTTCCATCACCTAGAACGGATGCCGGGCGCTCTGGCCGGAGAGGGGGTGGGGCCCGTGGGAGAGAGGGCCAGGCAGTGCCGAAAAGCGGCGGCCTTCATTCCCGCTTGCTCAAGACAGGCCGCCCGTGGAGGCTGGCTCGGCCGGGGAGCGGCTGAGTCTGTGACAGCACGCATCAGCGCGCCGCACTTGGAGCTCCAGCAGTGGGAGGAGAAGCAAGTGGGGGAAGGCCCAGTGGCTGTTAGAGCAACTCACACAAGCGCCTCCCGGCCTCGGCTTAGCAAGGCGGGTGAGCGCCCACGTCACTCTAACCCCCCTTCACGGCCCCTCGCTGCAGCGGGACTAAGCTGGGCATTAAATGCGTGTTGAAGTGCAGCGCATCCTTCATCTTCCCGGCCCCTCCGGCCTCCTTCCCTCCACGCCCCATGGGGTGGCTGCTGGGCCCTGTGGCTTTTCCATTTACACGGGGAACAGTCTCGGGGGGAGCCGGGTTAGCAGAGGTGAAAGGACACGGGGACGCCCTGGTGCACAGCTCTGGCCAGAGGGAGCTAGCGCAAGAGCTGGCAGGGACCTGGTGGCACAGGACAGTACCAGTAAGAAACGTGACCTCTCTCCCCTCCGCTGCGAGTCTGTAACTTTCAAAGCACCTCAGAGACCCACAAATCTCTCTCTAGGATCAGGAGCTTTCGTGGGCAAAGCCCCCTGCCCCAGATGGGATGATCTTGAGTGGAGAAAAAAAAGCTGGAGAAAAGGGGGGGCTGAGGGTTCCCCTTTTTTCCTCCACTCAAGATCCTCGCCTCTGAAGAAGTTGGTTTTTCCCATGAAAGCACTGTAACAAGGTTCCAAAAAAAATGTAGATAAATTCATGGAGCTTGGGTGCATCAATGGGGGTATGTCTATGCTAGCCCCCTAGTTCGAACTAGGGTGGCTAATGTAGGCATTCGAAGTTGCAAATGAAGCCCGGGATTTAAATATCCCGGGCTTCATTTGCATATTGCCGGGCACCGCCATTTTTAAATCCCCCTTAGCGCAGACTCCATGCCCACAGCTACACGCAGCACGGAGTAGGTCGTTTGAATTAGGATCTCTAATCCAAACTACCGGTACGTCTCATTCCACGAGGAGTAACGGTAGAGATCCTAATTTGAACGACCTACTCTGTGCCGCGTGTAGCCACGGGCACGGAGTTCGGACTAAGGGACTTTTAAAAATGGCGGCGCCCGGGAAGATGCAAATGAAGCCTGAGATATTTAAATCCTGGGCTTCATTTGCAACTTCGAATGCCTACATTAACCACCCTAGTTCGAACTAGGGGGCTAGCATAGACATACCCTGGGTGTTGGCCAGGATGGGCAGGGAGGGGTCCCTGGCCTCTGTCAGAAGCTGGGAATGGGTATCAGGAGAGGGATCACTGAATGGTTCCCGGTTCTGTTCACTCCCTCTGGGCCCCTGGCGTTGGCCACCGTCGGCAGACAGGACCCTGGGCTGTGGTCTGACCCAGTCTGGCCGTTCTGATGCAGAAGGACCAGGGAGGTGAAGGTTGGGTGTCACCTGACAGTCCAGGACCAGAAGGGAGGGCCCATCACACTGAAATTGTAGTGACCTCTACCCTGCCCCGGAGGGCTCTGCCCATCCTGCATCCCGAGTGACCCAGGGCGATTTTAGTGGCTCTCAGACTCTTTGTCCTTCCCCCCATCACTAGGGCTCTGCTGCAGCTGGCCCTGACCGGCTGCATCCTTGCCGAGTTCTTGGGTCCCATCCGCGGAGCGAAGCGGACGAGTTGCTGCGCTGGGCCACGTGGTGGCTGGGCAGGAGCAGGCTAGAACGCCATGCGCCATTCGCCCAACCCGCTCTGCTTCTCCCCAGGTGCGCGTCCCTGCTGCCGCCATGAACGTCTCCGCCCTGAGCAGCCCGCCTGCGCCTGCGCACATGGCTGGGTTGACCCCAGGCTCCGTGACCCGGGCGGTGACGAAGAAGGCCGACGCCCTCCCCACCATCACCGTCATCGTCGGCCTCTTCGTCCTCTTGGCCGTGCTCATCATCGTGCTGGTGCGCTACGGCTCGCAGCTGCGCGTACTACAGCTCACCCTGCGCCACGAGCCCATGCCGCAGGACCTGGAGCACGGGGTGCGCCTGACAGACTGGAAGAAACTGGGCTCCACGCGGAAAAGCAGCACCCAGCCCGCACCGAGCTTCCAGGGCGAGCCAGGCAGCCACGCGGCCGCCACGTGGCCCGTCCCGTGCTCCTGTGCACACCAACCGCTCTGCGGGAATGCGGAGCCCAACGTCATAGAGATCAGCTACCTGTGACCCCACCCGCCGGGGCTGGGCAGCCGCCAGGGGGGCTGGGGCTCTGGCGG